TAAAAAAAATTATGAAGTCTTGTACGTCTTATTTTGGTTAGTATTTCCTCCTACCACCTTATGTGAGACACTCAGACTTTGAGAATATTTTAAATGAAATGCCAACCAGAATTTATACTTACTAGGTTTGGGTTTAGAAGCAAAGAAGAACCTACATGTGCAAAGCTTGAAAAGAAGGGGATGAGATTCAATGTTTGTACTAATTTGTTGTTAAATTTAACTATGAAAATTCTGTATATATCTTGTGCTATGGAAATTTAAGCTCAGCTAGAAAACATTTGAACTAGAAAGAAATCATGATATTGCCTAGGCCGTTGCTAGCTACTTCAGTGTGGTCCACAGACCAGCAGCATCAGCATCCCCTGGCAGCTTGTTAGAAATGCGTGTTCACAGGCCCACCCCAGAGTTTCTGAAGCAGAGTCTGTATCTTTACAAGCGCTCTAGGTGATTCTGATGTTCACTTAAAATTTGAAACTCATTGATCTAGGCCAGGGGTCTTCACATGTCCTTTTAGTCATGATGACTATCTGTAGGGAATAAAGACATTTGGAAGTCCAATTAGCAAAAGTATTTAGTGAATCTGGTTAACTCGTAAGTGTTTTGAGTCTGTTTGACATTTTCTTGGGTGTTCCTAGGTGGAGTTCCTCATAACCCCTCTGGCTTAGCTGAGCTCAGTGTACAAATTCATAATCTAGGTCCAACCCTCAGAGATCTAGAAGATAAGTAAGTTTAATTAGATAAAATTGCAAGATCAGAATTTAGAAACTCACTCTGAGTCCAGGTATTTTGTAGATCAGATGAATTACTTCATGATCATTAATTCTGTTAAAGCAGTTACCCAAGTTTTTTTTTAAGTGTTATATTTGACATATCTTTAGAAAGCTAGTTTTAAAATTTCATAAACACATATCCCATACAATGAGATACTCCAGGATACTGAATTTTTAAATAAAGTCTCAAAAGGAAAACTTATTTCTTATTTTATAATCTATCTCATTGGCCAAAAAAAAAGTTGCTAAAATATTTCTCCAGTTGATTGAATTCTTTGAGTTTATATTTTCATTCATAATACACCAAAATAGGTTATAAAAGTGCCCCAAGCTCCTAGTGTGGCTTAGATGTAGCCTGGAGTTCGTATTTTATGGGTTGAATGTATTGTATGCTGGGAATACTTATTAAGTGTGGCATGTGACTCCAGGTCACAAATTAAGATTAAGAAGGAGCTGGTTTGTGCTTCGAGGTGACTTGGCATACTAAAACACTGCATGTGGCTGAAGCGTAATGGTGCCCATTCAGTTCTGTGGAAATTAGCTGTTCGACATCTGTTTTGAACCCCTAGTGTGTGCTAGAATTGTGTTTTCTCAAGGCATTACAGCTGAGGGCATAATAAATCCTTGATGAGAATTTCATGCTCCTAAACGACTGGGATACAACTTGCTTTGTATACCCCGGTCAGGTTTTCCCTTCTTTTTGCTCTTTAGGAAAAGGCAGCTGTGGATGTTCATAGATTGTACTTGAAGCCGTTGGAATCATGACTTGACCGACTGACTTGAGATCCAAATCCCCAAGTAGGAAACCTACTGAGTCTGTTTGACTTGCTCCTCATCACCCATGGGTCGGCTTATTGCTAAACGCTCTGATAGAAAACCAACAACTTTACCTCAAAGAAAACCTTGGGTCTGTTTAGCTCCTTCCCTATTCCATGCCCCACAGTGTGAAGTGGCCAAGCTTTCTGCCCCATGGGTCTTCTTTGTCTCCCGACCACCTTAGGTTTGCTGATAAAGAGGCCAGCTCGCTCAGTTACTTCTTTGGGGGACACATCTGAAGGGGTTGCAACCTCAGTCCTGCCTGGTGCTGTTTAAGTCTCTGTTCCACGATCTCTTGTGATATCTTCCTGGATGCAGAACAAGAGTTGAAGATTAAGTGATGGCCTCATTAGGTGAAGTTCCCTCTCAGTGGGAGAATAATTATTCTTAGAGAGTGATGAAAGGAGTCATGGAGAGAAGTAGTAAGTGCAGAGGTGACCAGACTCTTGGGATTCACACTATCCTTTGTGTCTCAGTAATTCCTTTGCAAAGTGCCAAGGCACAAAGAAAAACTGAACAGTTTCTAATATTAAGTAGGTAAGGTCAAGTAATTTAAGGAGTATTTATGACCTAAAAACTTAGCAGGCATTTGAAACAATAATGCGCATACACTGAAAGAAAGAATCCTTACTTCTTCCATCCTTAAATAACCACAACCGTTTCCCAGTGGCATGTTGTGGAGTGCCTGGTGAGCCCTGCCCAGCTTCTCAGACCTGAGAGTGAGAGTGGATGCTGCCGTCTGCAGTTTCTGTTCCTCCTAGATTTTCACAAGGTATTTAACTCAGCTGCACAAAGATGCATAAGGAAAAGGAATGTGGCCTGATCTAATGTTGGACTGTGAGCTACTTCCAGCTGGTGTTTTGCACTCACCTGAGAGATGTTGCTGTATTTCCCTTGAAAATTAAAAATTTCCTGCTGCAGCATCTCAGGGCGCCTGCACACACAGTTTAGGAACCATAAGTCAGATGGCATGCATTCTCAGAAATGTTCCTCTCCCCCTCACCCCCAAAATTCAGGTTTTGCAGATAACCCTGTGCTAGGTGGAGTAAGGGATAACATGTGTTTCACACTTGCTGGTTAACATGGTGGTTCCACACTAATACGTTGCAACCATCTCATGAGGTGGGTCCTTCTCATTTTCCCCACCACTATGAAATGCAGGTAGTCATAGAATTCCTTTCCCTGCCTCGATGATTAGTACGGGGTGCAGGAAAAGGTCGTGCTCAGTTATTTAACTCTGACTCCCAGGTTTTCTTCTCTGTTCTATATTTGATCTCTGATTCCATTGAGTTCAAAAATGAAATGGGAAATCACCCTTGTGTAGCAAATTAGAATTGTGGGCTGTCTCTGCCAGAAAGATCAGCCCTGGCTCCAGGGAGCAGTTGCACAAACACGGAGGGGATAGGGACGCCTCAGTGTCCCTGTATGTTGAAATTGCTTATGTTACGCTGAGTAGAGGCCCAGTCATAATCGATAGTGAAGTTCCAGCACCTTCATTTTAGGCTACATTTAAATAGGTATAGCATCGGCCACCAGGGTGTGGGTGATTCTGTTCTGCCTCAGCTGCCTAGAAGGTCATGCTTTGGAGGCTATTTTTGAGTTCCCAAAGCATGCCTATTAAATAACCATTGAAGGACCTGAGAATGTTCAGCCAGCAGAGACTGAGCTTTAGGAGGAAGGATGTGATATGCGTCTATATTTCAGCCTTCCAAATATTTGAAAGAGGAATTATACTTGTTCTGGTCTAGCTCAAAGGACAGAATTAGTACTTTTAGGTATACTCAATAACAATAAAAAAGTAATAATAATTTTCAGTGGTTGCATCTTCTCCAGGAGGTGTTGAATTCCCACCGTTGTAAACCATTGTGGGAATGGTAAAAGGAATATTGGATTGCACAGTGTGGCTCTGAAAGCCCTTTTAACCCTGAGGTTCTTTTTTCTAACTTTCTAGTTTGTGTATCTTTGTCACTGAGCAAAGGCTGTGCTCTGTGTTCAGAGGCTGTGCTCTACGCTCAGCCTGCTGTCGCACCAGATACATTTCTCTATGCAGAATTGGTAAAATGAAATGTAAAGTAACATGTAAGTTTTCTGTTGGGAACAGGTGTCATTGTGGGTGGAGGCCCTACGAGAGATCATAGTTCTTACTGGGAAGGTCTTTGAGCATCTGTTTGATTTCCAAGCACAGTCCATGTGTAAGTGCGGCCAGTGTGCCTCTGGGAAACTCAGGAAAGTCTTTTAGTTTGTGTTTATGCTGTGTGTGGGGGGGGGATAAGTGATTCAAGAGTTAACCTGTAAATTTCCCGAATTAATATCAGCCTATCAATTCAAAATTTCAAATAAATCAGTCCTGAGATACTAGTGTTGTTTCATGTGTGTATTGTCTGGTCTTATAGTCTGGATAAGCACTTCACTATAATTAATATTGCTGTGATTTAGACCCCATAGGTTTATATTGGGTCATCTCCCCAGGTGACTTGAGGGTCTGCGCTCGTCAGTTACTCACGGAAGCAAGCCCTCTTCGGCTTGTGGGCTGCGCTTCCGCACAGATCTGCTACGCCAGACCCCCTCTCCTGCGCCTCCCGCTCCCAGATCCGCTGCCTTGGCCACCCTTCAAACACTGCTTCATCTCTGGGGTGGGGATGGGGAAGTTGTCATTCTTCCCTCTTACTCTGGCCCTCTCTCTGTCCTTTCTCATACCTTGCCAATTATCTTTCCCTTCTGTAAAAGCAGATTTTACAGAAAATTCCCTTGTCAGCCCTAGGTTGTACGTGATGTGTACTGCAAAGCAAAAACAGGGTCTGTGTTAGTTTCCTGATTTATCAGGAAGACATTTCCGAAGACCCTGTAACTAGCTCACCTGCTGTTGTCATTCAGCAGGGCAGAGGTGCTGCTGAAGAGTGTGCATACGGGGCCTGCGGAGCAGGGTGATTACAGATAGGCTGTGTTTTAAGTTAGTCTTGAGTTGTGTATTTCATCTGCAAAGTTGGCAAATACTTGAAAGCCACAAGCTACTGTTTTTTTTTTTTTTTCTTTTTCCTTTTCCTTTTTTTACTGACCGGTAATGGGATCGCAACCCTCGGTGTCGCGCCCATACCGGGGACTGGCAACGGGATCACAACCCTCGGTGCTGCACCCGCACCGCGCTCAGCCAGTGAGCGGGAACCGGTCTCCACATGGGATCCGAACCCTCAGCGGGAGCGCCGCCACGCTCCCAAGCGGCGCACTCTCCAGTGTGCCACCGGACCGGCCCGCTACTGTTTTTTGAAATCATCTTTGCACGTGAGCATAAAACGTATTGTAATGAATTTGGAGATTGTCCAGTAACTGCCCTTTTAATGCAGCTGAATACGGATCACAGCTGTTTTTTCTGGGCAGACACGTGCAGCCCTCATCTGTCTCTCCCTCCTCTCACAGGGTGTCTCCTCTGCAGAAGTCTGAGGTGGTGGACGTGGTGAAGAAGCGAGTGAAGGCCATCACCCTCGCCATCGGGGATGGCGCCAATGATGTCGGCATGATCCAGACAGCCCATGTGGGTGTGGGCATCAGCGGGAACGAGGGCATGCAGGCCACCAATAACTCAGATTATGCCATTGCACAGGTCAGTCCTATTGATAGAGATGGCAGCTGGGCGTGAGAGCCTGGAGCTTGACTGTCAGTCCAGCCTGAGAACTCTGCTGCCCCTTTTGAGGTCACCATCAGGAAGAAGCTGCTGGCCGTTTGGATTTCACAGTAGATTTGATCTTGTGCAGTTCAGAGGCCCTTCCCTGCCAGTTGGGTTTCTCTGGGCCAGCTGTGGGGCTGGTTGAGCTGCTCCGTCATCAGACAAGGTGCCCCTCCTGACAGATAGGTCCCTGGTCCTGCTATTAACAATCTCTTACCCTCACCTCCTGCACCTGCTGTGTAAGCATTTCCTTATGTGTCCCCTGCTGAAGGACATCTGTGCTTATAATACCCATTCTCTACAATCCTGTCCTAGCACCTCCCCTCTTTCAGAAGATGCTGGGACACTCTCTGGTCATGCATTTAAGGTCAGGGAAAAGCAGTCATTTGCAGCTGCTGCCCTCTCTGTAGTTATGACATGACGACCCCTGCTGTGAGATGAATTGCTGACAGCAGGAGCTGCTTCAGGCAACAATGACCCCATGATCAGTAGCAAACAGCCTCTGGCAGTTAGGCCAAGTTCAGTCCACTCCTCCCTGAATGGAGCGCTGCATACCCAGGCTCCTGGTATGCTTTGTGGTTCCTGCACAGGCAGCCTGAGGATGAAAGAAATGTCTCCTCCTTAGTGACAGCCCAAGGTGAAGGAAGACAGCCTGCCTCCTCACCCCTAGGGTGCATAGCGAATCAGTTGTCTGCTGGGTCATCCAGAAACCCTAGACACCCCGGGGAACATGGATCGGTTCCTCCTGTCTCCAGATCGTGATACCTTGTGATTAGATGCCTGCTTGCTCGCTGGTTAGTGAGAGCTCCCTTGTGTTTCTACCGGTGTTTTTTAGGCTTTCGAAGAGTGTGTTAATAGTAATCACATGAACACAGAAATAATGGCTTTGTTCTCTTTCAAGCTGGAATCAGGGGCTGTGTTTAAAATGTGACCAAGCTTCCCACAGCCCCAGGCTGTGGGCTGGTCTGTGCAACTCTGGGGTGCCACCTCCCCCAAGGAGGACTCTGCCTTAGGTCACCTCTCAGGTTCCCTCTCAGGTTGCAGTTCTGCAAACACAGGGAGGAATTACAGAGTCCTTGTGGCTCTAACAAGTGCCTGAAACCAGTCTTGTTCCCAGGTGGGTGCCAAGTAAGTCCGCAGGATAATTCCTGAAGTAGGTAGGAGAAGGGATTCTGATTTTACAGTTAGGAAAACTGAGGTTCTTTCGCATCTGGTGACCTGCCTCAGGTCCGAGCAAGTGTCTGGGAGCAGAGAAGGGCAGACCTGTGTGTGCACTTGAGGGCTGGCCCAGCACACCTGCTGGTTTATTTTCCTGAGTCAACTGCTCCTAGGCCTGTGGGACTCACGCTTCCTGTAGTCTGTCAGCAACTGTAGATGTTATACACCCCAGCATTATTAAATACTTGAGTTATAACATCATATGGCTGGGAGGGATCTTAAGAGGTTTCCTAGGAGTTCCAGGCAAATATTTGTCTGTCTTTTTCTTTAAAATGTCTAGGGAAAGGAGATTCCATGACCTGCTTTATTGAAACTGCATACTAATAAGATGTGGAATCCGGAACAATGGCTCTCTTCAAATGAAAAGTGTCAAGAGAAGGGTGGAGCAGGGAGCAGGGCTTTATAGTTCCATTTGGAGGTTTTCTTGCCCCTCCAGCGTAATAGTCACCTCTGCCAAAGGAACCGATGAATCCACAGGTGTCTGTGGGCCCTCATTTCTCCTGTCCATCGTCCTGTCCGTGACGGGCGGGACGCTGTGATTTCAGGGCCACGTTTGTGCCAGCCTTTCCTCCTGTCCGCCCAACAACAAGCAGTCTCTACCTGAATCTCACAATTTGGTTTGCGTCTGTTGATATGTCTGTGGTTGAAGGTGGCACCCTGTGCATTATCTGTTCATTTTAATGTGGATGAATATGTTTTTGATTGGGTTTTTGAGAAAGAACGCTGTAGGGTTAGATACAGAAGAAAAAAGGTGTTTAGCTCAAAGTCTTATCCTAAGGAATCTTATGAAGTAGGCAAAGCTCCAGGTCCATTTCTTTGCCCCTGCCCTGTCCTCTTACGCACGGGGCGCAGCCGGGACTGACATGTCCCTGTGCGGCTGCTGCTGTGCATGTCGTGCTGCACCTGGAGCCCTCAGCTGCTGTTTCCCCTCGGGAGAATCATTCCTGCCCCCTACCTGCTTAATGTTTTTAGCATGACCTCATGAAGACAGCGTTTTGATTTAGGATGCATATATTCTTTTTTCTGAAAACAAATCATTGTAGCACTCGAGCCGAGGGTCCGGGATGACTCAAGCAGATGTTCTCTGTGCCCACTGAAGTCTCACATCAGGGGCCAGGTCAGATACAGGCTTCCTTTTTATATGTTTATCCAGTTATTTTATGATTCCCCATTCCCCTTTGAAATCCTTAATGAGCCTTTATGGGGAGTTTTATTTTTCCATGTGCACCTACCTCTGCCATTGTGAAGTTGTCATTTAGGTTTTGGAGTGCACGGATGAGCGGCCGTGCCGTGCCCTGTTCTTTCTGGAAGAACTCATTGAAATGTGACTTCATATAGGATGTCATCCCCTTTGTTACTGCTGATGGGGATTATTATGTAGATTACTCATGAAAAGAAATGGTTTTTTAAAAAATTTGTATTTACAGTCAGGGTCTTTTTAAAAATATAGATAGTTTAATTTCAGAAGTTATCTGAAATTAATAGGAAGTTTACAATAGCAAAAGAATATCTGATGTTCTGGGGTGTTCTAGATGCAGCCTTATTGTTTCTCCTGGTAGCATAGTAGGGTTTAAGCTTGAGTGCTGCCCGGGGCAGGAGCTGGGGCCTCTGCCAGTACAGGTTAGAGCCAGGGGGATTAAGGTTCTCCTCAAGGCAGCCAAGGGGGAACCCAACTTGGTGTGAGGTGAATCCAGTGTATAGAAACCATGCATGTAAACAGAAGGGCCCCAACAGCGCATTCATGCCAGAGCATGGCACAGTCAACAAAACCAAAAAACTCATTTCCCTCCCTCCAGCGCAAGGTTCTCACTTTTGGGGACCTTGATGAAATAGGACACAGAAGGCAGAGTGGGCATGGCGAGGCCGAGGAGTTGTGATTCAAGTGGTGCACAAAGACCCCCCTGGCTCCTCTCTCGGGTGGCAAGAGCCCGCACAGCACTCTTGGCTTGGTGTCAGCTAGCTTCCTGACTGCGTAGTTGGAGGCAAAAAAGAACAAAATGGGACTAGAGTGGAGGCAGTGTGTGTGTGTGTGTGTGTGTGTGTGTGTGTGTGTGTGTCTTTGTGTGTCTACATGTGTCTTTCTGTGCCTGTGTGTATTTTTATAATGCTTCTGTGTGTCTTTGTGTGTCTGTGTATGTGTCTGTATGTCCGTGTGTGTGTCTCTGTGTTTATATACAGTTTTTAGCCTACAGGCTGACTGGGGAAACATGTGGGCACCTTTTTTTAAACAAGACGCTATTGCACGAGTGTCCCTGTCCCTAAGTCCTTTTGCCAGCAAAATTCTGTGATTATGCAGAAGTGTCTGATTCCCACTGTACTATTCTTTTCTTCTAGTTCAGGAGGTCACCTTCTTTTCATAATGCACATCCTAAAAAAGCATTAGCTTAAGTAGAATTTCATGAGAATAACAATTAAAAGTCCAGCAGCAAGTTTGGGGGAAGTCCTAAAGATGTGGATTTAAGAGAAGAAATTAGTTGTTCTGGGGGGGGGGTGGGCTGACAGCCTCACCTAATGCCTCAGGTCACCTGCAAAATCTGGTTTCCTCTGCCTGCCTATCTGTCTTCTGTTCATAAGGACATTTTGTGACTTTTATTCCTCAGTGATAGGCTCTTCTGAACCTTGTCATTTTCCTTCCCAGTTTTCCTACTTAGAAAAGCTTCTGTTGGTTCACGGGGCCTGGAGCTACAACCGAGTGACCAAGTGCATACTGTACTGCTTCTACAAGAACGTGGTCCTGTACATTATTGAGGTAAGAAAGGGTGGCTTTACTTCTCGTGGAGGAGAGCCTTTCTCAGAGAGCATCTCTAGGTATTTAAAGTCATTTTATGAAAGGGTTTCACTAGCATGAAATTAAAGATGCTGCTGTAACATGTAAACCTGGGCCACGTGGAACCTCCTTTAAAGCTGGGCCTGCCATCCAGGTCTAGACCCTCAGGTTGAATAACCGGATCCAGGAGCCTGCAGCCTTTCTTCCCTGCCCCATCCCCTCCCTGTTCTCCCCAGCTCTTGCCCCAGCTCCAGTGTTCCTCATGGCCCCGCCTCTTCCCTTGTGTCTTTGGGTCGCCCCCTCGTCTTCAGGCATGATCAGAGCCGGAGCAGCAGAAGCTCACACCTTTCTTGGTGGGCACTGAGACATTTCTGAGCAACCCAGTCAGCTTTTTCTTTCCTAGAAGGAGAAGGGCCTGAGGTCTTGCTGTACTTCTCATGGACTCTGCAACTTTCCGGAGCATTCATTCACTTCTTCTGGGATGTTTGGGTTTCTTTGTTTTTTAGTATAACCCATTTTATTTTTGTTGTTGTTTTTAACTGACACATAACAATTGTACATATTTATGGGGTACAGTGTGATGTTTTGATGCATGTATACATTGCATAAAAATCAAATCAGGGTATTTAGCATATCCATCACCTCATACATTTATCATTTCTTTGTGGCAAAAACATTCAAAATCTTCTCTTCTAGCTATTTTGAAACATACAATACGATATTGTTAACTGTAGTCACCCTACCGTGCAATAGAACACCAGAACTCACTCTTTCTAACTGTAACTCTGACCCACCTCTCCCTGTCCACCCACGACCCTCCCCAGCTTCTGGTAACCACTAGTCTACTCTCTACTTCTATGAGATTAACTTTTTTAGATTCCAGTATGAATGAGATCATATGGTATTTGTCTTTCTATGCCAGGCTCATTTCACGTGAAATGATGTCCTCCAGGTTTATTCATGTTTCCACAAATGACAGAATTTAATTAATATTCTGTCGTGTAAATATACTTTATCCATTCTTCTGTTGATGGACATTTAGGGTGATTCCGTACCTTAGCTACTGTGAATCATGTTGCAGTTTCTGGGATATTTGGACACTATATGGGAATGGGGGTGGGCGGCGGGGAGTACACCAACAAGGTAAATTAAGTCATCACAACGAGCTCCTATCCTGTTGTCAAACAGTTTTCCAAGATGCTGATTCGGTTACAAGTAAAACACGTGTGCTTGCTGGAGAGGCAGGCCCAGGAAAAAGTGGAAAAGGCCTGTTAGGTCTGATATCAGTGAGAATACCTGCTACCTCGTTCTTCCTTTTTAAGAACAGCTCTGCTATAAAGGTGTGGCTTTTGAGGCCATCATGACGAATGGACTTCCAAATGTGTTTATAAAAGAGGAAGCAGGCAGTCACTCTGTGGAGGCATAGAAAAGTGATGTTAATTGTTTATGGTGTTTTAATATCTCATTCTATTGGGGGTAATTTTATGTCTGATTTGTCAACTCTAGGCAAAAATAATAACCAAAGCAGAAATCAACTTTTTCTGATGTAGTCTCTTAAAATACTCAGTTCAGGTCATTTAACAAGTGGCTTGCTGTAACTATGACTAACCATTTCTTTACCAAGTTGTCTAATCTTTCCTATTGAATCATTCAGGTCAAGTTTGTAAGTTCATGTTGCTTATTTGGGGACTAAACTACTAAAGAGTGATTTTGCCCAGTTGTGCAAGTTGTTCACTGCTCAAGGTACCCAGCGAAAGCGGTCATGGGGCAGAGACGTAGCCTGTGCTTCTCCACCCCTCGAGCTGCCTGGAGCTCACCTGGAAACAGCAGGCATTCTTCTACTTTGCACAAAAAGCAGCCTACTCACCTAGGACTGTACCTAGGATGCTGCTGCACCTGCAGAGAGGAAGCCTCTTCTGGATCACACAAAAGCCTCTGTGGGCTGGAGAGCAGCCCTGACTAAGGAATGTTCCAAGCAATCCAAAGAGATCTGGTTAAAGTCCTGAAAGCTGACCTGTCTTCCTAAGTTGAATCCTTTGTGTGAGATGTCCTGTCTCCCTATAGTAGATGAGTAAGTATTATTTCCCTAGGAAGAAAATATGCAGCAGGCTCTTGAGAGATTTGGAGCTGTAGTTGGCATTTTATTCAGAATAGCGAGGTTAAAATCAATAAATTTAAAAAGTACCCATGATGTTTTCTGCTTGTCTTGTACTGTAATAGGCAACCCTGTCCACTGCAGGTAAGAACTTATACATGTTGGTGTAATGGATTTCATAGTTTCTTTCTTCTTCCTGCTCTTATTTTTACAATTCCCTTTTGGCATTTAAAAACATTTGACCCCTCCTCCTGCCACATTTTTTTTCATCTATGATAGGAGTCACTCCTAAATGTCACTTAGGTCATAGATAATAGTGTAAAAGAGCGTGGAATCCCTGTTCCTATGTGCCATCCCATGTCTCCAGGAATTTTTGCGCCTGTAGTTGTTGGCTTCACAAGGTTCCGTAATAATCTGGTTTTCCTCATAATCAGCAAATTACAGATAGTCTAGACTTCTTATCGGGACATTCTGCATGGAGCCCCCAGTCCTTTCGCTTTCCAGAGCATCCCTCAGGGGCCCTTCTTAGTCATTTACACCTACTATCTTGCCCCCTCCCCCTTTTTTTAAACTTCAAGTGGGCTGAGGCTGAGAAGAGTGCAATTTTAGTCTGTCTGAAAAATTCCGTTTGGAACGAGGCCCTGAGAGTGCCGAGCAAGTGCTTCATGTTAATTTTCCAGTTGAGCTGAGCACCAGTTGTTAAATGGTCTTCTGTAAACAGCCTTTTCAAACATTCTGTGTAAAGTTTAAAAAGAAGTAAAAAGTCTTCACTACTTTGTGCCCAGTTTTCTATTTAGTATTTCTGGGAGCTATTAATTTGAAAACCAGGAAAACAAAATCCTTGACTGAGCCCAGATGGCTGGAGCATGGATTCAGACAGTGTCCACTCTTGCCAAATTACTTGCTTGGCATCAACACACACTTCAAATATAATTTTAAATATAGGAAAGTACTACTTGCATGCTATTCTAGTTTGTTTTGAACTGCAGGATCAAAGTCTGTTGATTTGCTCATGTGCAAAGAATACTTTTTTGTTCTAAAGGTAACTTTATAATTACTTAAGTGAGAATAAATTAACTACATTATTTCTCTTTAATAGTTTTCTTGTAAGTCAAGGAGAAATTCTTTGCAATAGCCAGTATGTTCTTATCTCAAATGTCCTCTGATATATGTAACTACCAGTCATTTAAAATAGAGTCTAAAAGCAATTTGGCAAATTACACACACACACACACACACACACACACACACACACACACACTTCGTGACCTTGGCTGTTACTATGAGGATCATTTTATGATTTGAATGACCAATAAAGACATAGGGAAGAGCTGTAGGCCTGTGATGTACTGCAGTCTGCTCACTTGGTATACTAACATGTAGAAGTGGATTTTTCTTTACAAGGAACACATGGACGTGTTCTCATTGCTGTGTGGAACACAAGTGAAAATTCCCTCTAGTCTCACACACACCCCCTTACATTAGCATCTGTCCTGACCTTGTCCTCTGCAGTTACAGAAATATTTAGGTATATAAACAAGTCGGTGTTTTGGGATGTTTTTAGATAAATGTCATTGTGCTTGCAGTATGTTCTACAATTTATATTTCACTTAACTGTGTATTTTGGAGACCGTTCCCCATTCCTATGTATAGGTCCATTGCGTGGCATTTCACATTGTGACTTCCTACAATCTAACCATTTCCTGCATTGATAAACATTCAAGTCAACTCCAGTTTCACCCACAAAAAGCCTTGTGGAATAACAGCATTCCCTCTACACAGCTATAAATATTCCACCAAAATTATATTGATCTAATTATACCATTTTGATCACAGTGCCCTGAGCATAACACATGCTCGATTTCTATATTTTTATCTGTACAACAGGTTTTCTATTGCTAACAGATCTTACTTAATGCTTGTTGAGTGTGCCACATGGAATGTCTTCAGGCCAAAATCACCATTGGTTTAAGTAAACAACGCTGTGCCCCGCAAAAATAAGTATAAATAATATTGAAAAATAAATTTAAGAAATAAAATAAATATAAATAAATAAATAATAGGAAGAAAATGATGGATTCCATGGTTTTGTGGTGGCCCTGTTTTAGGTAAAACTAAAGACATATACAACTTTTCCTCCATCCCTGGCCAATTGCAAAAACCACTAGTTTCACCTACTCAACCATGTCTATATGCAGCCAGGATAAGGTTTCTGAAACATACATCTGATTAATTCCAGTGGCTGGCACGGTGTCTGGAAGAGAGGTGCTCAAGAATGCTAGCAAGGAGTGAGTGAATGAAAGCTGCTGCTCTCCTGAAGCCCTTCAGAGGCTCCCCTGTCTTCTGCTAAAATCCCCATCTCTCTCTGTCACCTGCCCCTCTGTGGTTGGGTCCCAGTTGTCACCAGCCTCATCTACCACTGCATCCTCTTACTTTTTTTTTCGTGACCGGTAAGGGGATCGTAACCCTTGGCTTGGTGTCACCCACACTGCGCTCAGCCAGTGAGCGCACCGGCCAGTCCTATATAGGATCCGAACCCGCGGCCTCGGCGCTCCCAGCGCCGCTTTGTTCCCAGCGCCGCACTGTCCCAAGTGAGCCATGGGGTCGGCCCCTCTTACTTTGTTTTTAATCAGTGTGATTGAAGTGTAATTAACACACATGGCAAGATGCACCCCTCTTAAGTGTACAATTCTACGATGGTGGTGGCTGTCACACAATGACGTGGAGGTGCTGGAACTGTAGTCTAAGTGAATCACTGGAACTGTGTGCTTAGAAATGATTGTGATGGTAGACTTTATGTTATGTATATTTTACCACAATAAAATATGAAAGAACGAAGAAGCAATGAAAAGAATGTCACAAGCACTCTGTGCTTTAGTCACCTTGA